CAGTCCTATAGGTAGCATAAAACAGTAAGGTATAATAGAAATATACATATAATAATCTTGATATGTGCTTTTGTTTTGTTAGGAGTAGAGTTTGCTTTTGTGGTTATCTTGTAAGGTCAGTGGTCCTTGGATTTGTTTTTATTCTATAAGTTTTCTATATAGATATGTATAAGAATATAATTTTTATTCTTAGCCATTGTAGCAACAAATATCCTTGCCATAGATTGATTGGTATAAATGTCACCTGACCTTTCAAAGTCTTGTCTTGAGTTCTTTTATTAGCTAATGATAATAATAATTTCATTTCACATGATGTTGTAGGACATTAGTAATACCTTATTTTCCATTGATTAGGAGTTCATATGGTGTTCAAGACCAAAACCAATTCAAACTGGAATCTCCTATGATCACTCGGAGCATTGAGTGCTATTGTCCATTAGGATATTCAATCAGAAAAAGGCAGACCACTGAAAGAATAAAGAATTTTAAATAATGTCTTAGGATTGGATATGATGGGGAAAAGATTTGAAGAAAATGGAGTTTTGCCATGGTACTATGCTGGTGGACAGCACCCTAGTCAGAATTAATAACTAGTGTAAGAGTCTTCCTTGTGGAAGCATGCTTAGCACAGTTTCAAAACAACAGAGATGCTGATATGGATGGGGCCAGAGGTCATAGTGAGTGAGCTGTGTGTGCTCATATACAGCACACAGGACCTTGGAGCTCTGGAAACAGCCCTACTTTAGTAACTGAAAGGCCCTGAAAGAACTTAGCATGGGGAGACAATGATACAGGATAAAGAGCTTCCCTGTTTCCCTACATGTGCAACAACGAGATGTTTTAAACATACTTCTCCGCTTAGCTCTGTCCTGTTCATGTGTTAATGAATAATCCTTACTTAGCATGACCAGGAAACTGTTATTTCCTGTTTTTATTGATAATTTCAGTTGGACCCAGAACAGATAATGGTTTCCTCAAAGTGCTAGAGAGCTGTTATCAGACTTGAACCTAATCCTACCCTCTTAGTTACGAAGGCCCGGAGGCCACAGTTTTGAAACCCAATGTTCTACCCTTGCTCACACACACAGGGTAATTCAATTCCTCTGTTTCTGCTCTCTAAAGAATATTCTCTACACTTTGGTAACTGTGCTTCTCATAACTACTCTTTTCTTCCTGAATCAAAGCAACTTGGAAAACTCTTCAGGAGGAAAGACAAACAAGAAAAATGATGTAGTTTAACAGATGGTTGAGTGTGCTTAGAATCCCTAGATTTCTTCATAGAATGTGCTTTAATAGCCATAAAGGAAGGTATTAGGGATTAACAATTTCCATGCTATTTTAACGGATTTAAATGAAAATATAGAAATAAATTTTGCCATCTATTACCACCTATTCAAAGAGTATAGACTTATTTAAATATACCTAGTCTAACTATCATAACCTGAAAATATTTTATTAATTATAAGTTGTTCATATGTGAACTTCTTATAAACATAGATTTTTCACTAATATATATTAAACCAGGCAGTGACCTTGTCTGGCCTTAATGGATGTCTTTGTTTGGCCTAGAAGGAATTTACTCTAATCTTATTATTCTGCAAGGGCCAGAATCATGCTTGATTTCCTTAACTTTTGGCACATGGTCAAAGGCAAAGGAAGCTGACTGCTCTGTTAGCTGTTTAATTGTTACCATTTTATTTGATGGAATAATTGTCCAGACACCAATTAGAGGTTTTTTGAGGGAATTATGCAGTAACAAAAAAATCCAGTTCAGATTCAGAGTTGGCCAGCTCTGTTTTCACATTTAGTTTGTGTTTCTTGGGTTTGATATTAAGCCTTCTGGCATTTGGTGCACAATGCGAGGAGGGGAGCTCTTTGAAGTTGGTCAGGTACCTGTTTCTAAGAGACTGCCAGACACCAACGAGAATGTGAATTGACTGCTGGGTTAGAAATGTCAGCACACTTATCTTGGGAGGAAGAATAATAGAGCAATTTACAGAAGCACTAAAGATAGATTAGATTAGATTCTATAGTAACTAGGGTTGTTGCTTTCCTTTTGACAAATGTAAAATACCAACACAAGATGCTCGTTTTTAATTCACTTTTTCTTTTTCAGAGGAGAAACTTAAAGCACGCGTCACTTATTTTTTTTTTTATATTCCCCTCAAACTATTTTAGTTTTTTCTCCTGATACTTAAAAAAACCTGGGATATTTTAGCCACCTGTCTAGGATTCTAAGCCAGTATTTGTGAAGAGTGAAAAAAGACTCAGTCTGAACTTTACCATTAGAGGGTAGACTGGATTTGCAGGAGAAGCCATGTAAAAGCTGTCAAATATGTAAGCACGGTTATCATAAGTTGTCACCATTGAAACAGACCTCCCTCCACACGCTTTCCTCTGCAGGTCCGTGTTGAACTTCGGTGAAAAGAGCTTATTATACTTTTTCTATCCATTTATTCAGTTTCCTCTTATTATTTAAACTTATAAACTTAAAAATGTCTCCCTGTTACGTCTTGGTTTATCCATGAACTTTGAGCAAATGATGTCAGTCTGCCTTAAAAGGCAGTAAAAGGGAGGCAACACCATATCTGCTAAAAAATCCAAACAAAAGCGATAACAATCACTTATGGCAAGAATCACCTCAGAGAGGTCTTAGAAAGTTCTATTGAACTTGCCCAATGTGAAAGCCAGGAGTTATGATTTTCAGGTGTATTTTGGGGGTGAATGACTACATTAAATCTGAAGATCAAACCTCACATTCGCATTCCAAGGCTGGGTGTGTTCTCATGTACCTTGAGTATAATTATACCAGCTCTACATATTCAGAAATTTAAGAAGAAAACGACACGTATCAGGTTTTCTCATGACACTTTACATTTGATAAGCATTTACATGTTTCAAGAATGAACATTTTAAACATTATATTCAAACAGTGAGATACTTAGTACAATTGCTGGGTTGAAACATGCACACAAAGCTTCTTGGACATCACTGAGTGGTTGTGTGATAAGCATGTATGACCACCTGCTATTTCAGTTTTTATTTTGAATTTAATCCTTGAAGTCATTACATTCATCTTTGATAGTGCTTTATTTGTGCACTCATATCTGTATCTGGCTGCTGATTGTTTATTGGAGTTATTAAAGTAGGCCTAAAAATATATGACTTGGTGTTTTAGACACTCGAAATTGGGAGACAATCAGGTATCTGTGGTTTGGGCTTCAAGGAAGACATGAGGCCCAGAGACTCATGGCATGATAACCCACCACAATTTACCATCAAGGCAATTATTTTAGACAGATAGTTTTAAGAACCCAATCGAATGTTTGGAAAGACAAAGATTTAGGGCACAACTCATTTCCAGAAGGTTTGTGATTTTTGGACAGATAGTTGTAGCAACCGAAGGAGATGACTTGTAAGGAGATGTGTCTGGAAGACACATCTGCATTTTCAGATGTTCCCTCTTTTGTTCTGGGCCCCAGAAATGTGCCTACATAGGACAGAAAATCATACATAGCCCATAACTGGAGAAAGGGAAATAGCACAATATATTCCAAACATAAATTCATAAGGGAAGAAGTCATAAGACCAAGAAAGAAGACTGCCAAAAATACTAATATATATTAGATAAAGATATATCTATATAGATTTCTAGAACTTGTCTAGAAAGGGATACATACATGCATGTATGCATCCATCCATCCATACATCCATCCATACATACAAGTGTCACTACCTCGTTTCTTTCTAGAATGACTTTCTGTTACCTAAGCACAGAAAACCAGAGTTCTCTTCCTGGAAGCATGTGTACTGTCGTCTGGCTCATCTGTAACTAGCTCACGTTCCTGGACTATTATTCAGACTCCTTTTCTGGCCAGAGACTCACAGGTTTGCGTCTTCTCTGACACACACACACACAGACACACACACACATCAACACATCCTTTTGTAACCCGACTGACTTACACTGTTACTCTTGAAATATATCGTGATATTCCTCCCTGGCCCCCTTTTTCCCAGTGAGAAAACAGGAGGAGGACTAAATGATACAAAACAAAGCAATGACTATGACTTGTTCTTTGATCTGCTCTGGGAAGCAGCTAGCTTAGGAATTTGGAGATGCCAGTGTCTGGCTCAATAGCTTAAAAGTAACTATTAATTCGTTACCTAAATTCAGGTAGCAAGTTACAGAGGCAAATGTGAGTCTTTCCTTCTGCATTAGAAGATATTTCTACTGTTTTATAATTTCTTATTTTTTTAATGTGTGAACAACAAAAATGAAAAGGATTGCAAGAATTTTTTTCCCTTTAAGGTTCTAAATTTGACTGCAACTTTAGCACTCAAAGCACTTAGTAATCAAAATTAAATGATGATTCTTTTTTCTTTTGAAGTTATTTTCTTGGAAAAAACAAGAGAAAGACATGAGAGAGAGAGAGAGAGAGAGAGAGAGAGAGAGAGAGAGAGAGAGAGAGGGAGAGAAGAGAGAGAGAGATTTGACCAGATAGCCTTCTCTGCTCAGTGTCTTGGAGAAAATTTCTGAAAGTTTTCATTCAACAAAGGGATATTTTTTGAGCAAAGACTTCCAAATCTTTCTATTCTTTGAGGTTGACTATTCATCATTCTCTATCCATCACTCTTGTGGGAAAATCAGTCATTGCTCTTTCATTTTCATAGCAATGTAGAGCTTGTTTTATACAGGTGTTAGTTGCCTTTGCTCAGCATTGTATTTTAAGGCTTCCTCAATTTCTTGGAAAACCTCTGTGCTGTTTTCGTGGGAAAAGGGTGTGCTGCAATTGTTAATGACAGACCCTGGACCATTAGGACATTTTTCTGATTCATACTTTGTGCTTGTGCATATGATCTTCAAGTTTTTAAAGAATAAGTTGAAGACTCAGTTGTTGTTTTTTTTTTTTTGGTACTGGGTGATATGTTGGTATCTTTTGTTACATTTATATTCCCTCTTTCTCAGATTGAGTATCTCTACCCAATAACCACCCTTCTGTCTCCCTCAAGTATCTAGAACAGGGCTTTACACTGTTAGGAAAACGGGAGATGTAGGCTCAATAGCAGCCTTCACCACAGGACATGGATTTAGGAATATTCATCCACAGAGGTATAGGGTGAGCTTATGAAGCTTGACGTGGTGGAGGCAGATTTGGAATCTCTGCGGGAGCAGCCATTGGCATTTGGGTCTCTGGGCACCGCCCTTTTCTTCCGGCTGGACTTGGCTGGGTCCCCATCATTGGGATCAAACAGCACGGTAACCGACTCCATCCTGCTCACGGTGTACAGGCTGCTTTGCCGCGTGGGATGAAACCTGGTGGTCTTGAGCTCCAACTCGTCATAGGTGGAGACTTGGATGAAAGGACACCAGCGAAATGCTCTCTTGAAGCCTGCGCGGAATCTGAGAGGCAAGGCAGGAGAGAAAAGTTGTTTACAAGTGGGCGTTTCCTTCAGGGGCCTTCAAAAAGGATATAGACTAACGCTGGCTTTGAATTTAGTCAAATTCTACAGAGGCTTAAGTCTGTGCTACAGAATCAGTTCAGTGAGTTCTTGTTCAAAGAGAATCATTTCCATCAATGGGGAAATAATTCATCAGAGTGGAAAGGCATGGGGTTATCAACGTGGGAAACTGCTTGTTGGCAATGAGCTCATTCATTTACATAATTAATTGCATGAGGTTGGCAAGTTAAAATATTTAAAAATGGCTTATTATATTTCACAAAGTTTTTTCCCCAGAAACAATTACACATTTACAAATTAGACTCATTTAATGTTAGAATTAATTGTTAATATTTATGGTTTTACTTAATCATCTATAAATATGTGAAATCCTTCTCACTGTATATCATTAAATGAAATTGATTTAAAACAGATTTATTGTTTGTACAGTGGCTTAAATTGAGGTATGGCTTATGCAATTAGTTTATAAAGAATGAAGTATTTAACCAACTTAAAGCACAAGTCTCTTGGTGTCTTCCCAAGCTAGGAAGTTAGTACTTACATCCAAATAATCATTTCAATTGGTCTATAAAACCCACTGGTCTATTGAGGGAGTTGTCAACCATGTGGAATTTTGTCTTACTCCTCTTTGTGTTCAATGCACCGACAAAGTGGGATTTGGTTTTTGAATTTTTAATTTTTTTTAAAATATGGAGGGCACAGTTAACCTTCTTTACAGTATTACATTGGTCATCAAAGCTCCTGCTTTATTTAAAGGGATAAGATCTCACTTTGTATCCTTTGCTCAATGCAAATTGACAATCTCCTTGTGTCTCAGTCTTTTAGATTGCTGAGATATCAGGCATGTGTCACCATACATGGCACAACGATGATTTGCCTTTTAAAAGATCTTTTGCTTGACCTCTCCAGCGTTCTCACTAGTCATCCCATGGGAACTACACTCTCTCTGTCACATTGCAAGATTGTGTGGGCAGGACAACAATTCTCCTTGCTTTGACAGTGATATCCATTTTGAAGGATATTGATAGAAGAACTTTCTGAGTCGAGCCCATCATGTATACCATTATATCCCCTCTCACAGAAGGCATATTTTATTTCTTTTAAGAACTCTCATGTCTTTGGGATTGTGGATAAGCCTTCACTGATGAGGATTTCTTTTATAATGCTAGGTACAATTCTGAAGGTTTTAAGGGAAGAAGTTGTCTTTTGTAAAAACCACCCAGTGAAAACTTATAATGCAGTGATTCTTGACCTATTGGCTATGGCAGCTTTTGGGGTTTAACAACTCTTTCACAGGGGTTGCCAAAGACCATTAAAAACAGATATCTACATTATAATTTACAACAGTAGCAGAATTACAGTTATAAAATAGCAATGGAAATAGTTTTATGTTTGGGACTCATCACAACATGAGGGACTGTGTTAAATGGTCTCAGCATTAGGAAGGTTGGAAACCACGGCTGTGCTGACACTTTTGAGAGACTAAGTTTTAAGGTGGGACATTTTGTGAAGTATAAAAAGCCTACTTAAGCTTTGTGCTTCCCTCTGAGTTCTCACACTGTCTCCTATGTCTGCACTTTTTAAATCAGCACCAAGGAACCAGAGTGACATGTGCTTCCGGGGAAGGTGGAAGTGTGAAGAGACCTGTGCCAGCAGTATTGTTTTTACCTTTTATTCAAACAGCAGTAGATGATGGGGTTGTACATGGTTGAACTCATTGCTAGCCAGAAACTAGCCAGGTAGATCTGCTGGATGTATTTCCACCTGTTCAGCTGTTGGTAGATGGCAGTGAGAATGAAATAAATGTGGTAGGGCAGCCAGCAGATGGCAAACGTCACCACCACAATGATCATCATCTTTACAACCTGGGAAGAAAAGGTAAAAATCACCATGAACAAGTTAAAAAGTCATTAGAATAGTTTCAATAACTTTCTACAGGTTAATTTAAAGCAATTTAGCTAAATACATAAAATATATAGCATACTTAATGACTAGCTGAAGCACTGTAAATGGTAAAAATGAATATGCCCTCTATATTTATGCCCAATGCTTATCTAAGCTTAATATCAAAAGGTATATTATGCCACAATTCCATTGTTGCCTAATAGTAAGATACAGTAGCACAAATATGAATGAGTTTATTTTCATTGGTCTGTACTAGGGCTAGGGATGTAGTTCAGTGGTAGAGTATTTGCCTAGAATGCACAATAAGAGCCTGGTTTGATCCTTTGTACCATGCACACACAAAAATTGACCTAAGAATGTGTTTACAAAAACCCGTGGAGAGGAAGACAGGCACTAGTTTAGGCTGTGATAACATGGAATGTGTAATGGTGAAGATATATTTATGTAAACTAAGCCATTATTAAGGTATATTATTCTACAAGAGATGGACTGGTTCTTCATTATTTGTAATAGTCTCCTCAGAGTTATAGACCATTTAAATTTTGTTAATATTGTGCTCACTAGGCAACTGTTTGAGTATTTTTTGTAGAGATACTGTCTCTGAATAGTGATTATTAATATAATAATCTAAGGAAATTTCACTAACTTGCAATTTATAAGTAAATGTTTGGTTTATATGGTTGATTTGTGTTAGTGGCATTTACTGGTAGGTGGGGGTTGGAGAGATGGCTCAGCAGTTAAGAGCACTGCCTGTTCTTTCAAAGGTTCTGAGTTCAATTTCAATTATCCACATGGTGACTTACAACAATCTTTAATGAGATCTGGCGATCTCTTTAGGAAGAGAACTGGTCAGTCGTCCTCATCAACTTAGACCAGGAAGCTCAATATGGAAAATTTCAACAGAACCGCCATATTTGGGCTGCCCATGCATGCCTCAGCATTGCCAGGGCGTAAATTTCATGTTTTTCAGAGATGGATGATGTTGTTTTCAGAACAACGAGACTCCCTTTCTTTCTCACAGAATCTCAAAAGGAATCTTCTTGGATACTAAGTTTCATTTTTTTTTTGCTTCCATAAGTTTGAAATTTAATATCTAGAAGGTTCCATTTGAGTAGGACAAGCTTGTGTACTGATTCCTTTAGAGTTGAAATCATCCTCCCTGAAGGAAGATCCTTGAATTTTTAGGGAGCTCTAAGTGGAAATGTTTCCTCAGGGCAGTAGAGTGGGAGGCTCATGCATGATACTCAAAGAGTAAGCAATCCATATATCCCTGAAAGTCAAATATTGCAAGTTCTTGGGGTTTCTCCCTAGGGTTAGAGAAATAGTAGATGGTTGCTGGAGAAGAGATCTGACCTGTCTGCTGCCTTCCAGTCATGCAGATACCTTAGGGATGCAGCTTTCCTGAGTCAGTGTTTGGGGATAGAGTTGCCTTGAGTTGTCTCTGCTCCATTAAATAACTCTTTGCCCATATTAAGTTTCAGCACCACAAATGAACTGATTGTTTTATTGATTTGAACTCCACTGCAATTATTACTTTTATCTGCCATTTGTTTCCTATCTGAGGTGAATAGAAGTTTGTGTCATGCCTCCCCAGTCTTGGAAGCTATTATATATAGGGTTGAGGAACAAAAATGACAGTGTCAGAGGTGTGCTGATTTTCGATGCGTTATTATTCAGGGAGGCTCCCAAGGCCCCCACAAATCATAAAGGCTATCATCTCTCTTGTTAATGGCGTGCCAGACCTAGCTGATAAGAACCTACTGTTGAAGTTATTGAATGCTGTGCTGATCAACAATAGTCCTACTCAGCTATGAACCCTGAATGCTGCAGTACCAAAATGCCATGCCGTGGATGTCTGCTGGTGCAATGATAACCTGATTACAATCAGCAATTTTTTGGTTGAATTTCAGGCTTTCTCCACAGGAGGTAATTCACATCTGATACTGTAAGCTAGGATTCAGTGGGGGGGTAACCACCGCTACAGTTTTGTTAAATGTGTGTTCTGTCTCTATCAAAAGGTTTTCAAAACATTTGTGCTTACACTCTCACAGGTCACTGTTAGTTGTTGTCAATTTCAGTCTCAGAAGTCATGGGTTACCATAGAGACTCACAACCAGTGGTGAAACCCCGGGGAATAACTGTGCCTGTGGCATGGCGGTCCAAGGCCTACCTTTAGATATGCATCTAGATGCTGACGTAGCTTTTTTTGCCTTTCATGCAAGAGGCTCCAAGTTCAATCGCTAGCAATACACACACACACACACACACACACAATGATTAAGATGGTAGATGGCTGTTTGTAGGAAGTTAAGACCTACTAGGCCGAAAGGAGCCAACCTGGAGTCTGCCTGGTGCTGTCAGAAGTCCTGATCATACCTAGCCAATGAGGGTTGACCACACAATGCCAACTGTCAATGGATCAGAAGGCCTGGGTGCAGGGAGGGCTATAAGTTTTTTCTCCATTGTTAAATAAACAACTCTGCTCTATCCCTTTCATCAGACTCCCGGCATCTGTGATCATTGATGTCATACCTTCTTATCTCCTCCCCTGAAGATGCTAGGGTCCAGTTACAGCTATTTACAATACCCTTGCAAGGCTCAGAAAACACCATAGATGAGAGAACTGAAGAATGTAAGAGCTGGTGAATGGGATACTGTTCAATTTCCTCATAGCTAGAGCATTCAATATTGATGTGAGATTCCTTAAGGTCTGAAAAGTTCTAAGTTGAAACATGGCCTCCAGGAAGAAGGGGGTGAGTTTATAAGACTCAATAAGTAAACAAACTTTACACATCTGGGGAGGTTGAAAATTATAAGATTCATGGGCCCTTCCCCATTGTTATAGGAGCATTCAACAACACTGAGTTAGCACTGTTAAGTCATACAGAGAGATCTAGGGATGCAGCCTTCATAAGCAAGACATCACCCACCATGTTGGGGTGAGCTTTTCAGTAATGTAGCTGCCTTTGACTCGTCTCTTCTAAGTAATGCCTTACCAATACTCCCGTAAGTAGCCTGAATAAACTCACTCGTTCACCAAGTTGGACTCCAGTGTAATCATTACTCTGGTCTGTCTTTGGTTCTCTATCTGGAGTCAATAAAAGTTTGTGTTGTGTCTCCCCAGCAAAAGTATCACAAAATGCCAACTTTATTTCTCTTCTACCTGCCCTTGAGTTCATGAAAAGCAGAGATAACCCAACATGAGATCAGTCTCTAATGTATTTGGGGTAAAAAAAAATAGACAAAGATATATGCACGGTGAGCAACAGTTGGAGTGAAAGGAGATAAATGTAAGAATGTTTTATGTGTCTATGATTGAACTAAAATCTCATCTATGTGTATATAAGAAAGATTGAAACAAAAGCACCGCACACTGATTGTATCATCAATATGATTACCTCTTTTAATATTTCTCATTACTCAGGCACCTGAAATCTCTTCATACTTCCTTAGGAATTTAGAAATAATAAGTTTAGGATAAGATATATCCAATAAAACAATTTTGAGGCATATCCACAACTGAAAGGAATAACCTGATGCATGGCCCATGAGGCATCTTAGAAGTAGAAAAATGCATTATTTATGAACTCCACTTGCCATTTGACTACAAGTTGTGAATTTAGATGAGAGTTGGCAAGGTTAAGAATCCTGAGAGACATTATTCTAGAAACAGACAAAACCTGAAATGACAAATGTGAAAGGTAATGCTTCTCGTAGGAGATAAATGCTGGATGGTCCAGGTGATTAGTGCTGACCTCAGGGGAAACTGACCATTAGAGCAGAAAATCTATGTCTATAGCTCAAAGAATGTTGTTACTGGCTCCACCAGGTCACTTGATTTTTGTCATTATTCTTTAAATTTTATTTTTATCTGAAGATCAAATTTCTGCAGTTAAGTTTCATGTTTCTTACTCGTGTATTTGGGAAATTCAAATAAGGACCATGCTTTAGTTAATTCAGCATTACACATGTCAACAGGTTATGATCTCTCTGTTGTTCATGAAGAAACTAAAGCTAAAAGGTTTAACTGCTGTCGTTTATGGGATGAAGCTAGGGTCCTTATACTCAGACCCTTATTCCTTTGCTCTTTATTATAGCTTGATGGAGCCAATGACAACATGTGGGATATTTTTTGAAGTTGAAAAAGGTATATTGCTTCTGAGGCAATGAGATTTTCCACGATAGTGTTTGTGTCTTACCATGCTGTGTTGTCTGTGGTATAGGATTTTACCAGCAACAAGAAAAGGATGCACAGACAAGTGACACAGATCTTAAAAGGCTGTGATGTTTGCTTTTATTTATTTACTTTAGTTTTATATTATCTATCCACCTACTTAATTATTTTTGAACATGTGTGGGTAGTGTGGGAAGTCATTCTGTGTATGTGTTGCTTTTATTGGTTAATGAATAAAGAAGCTGTTTTGACCTGTGGTAGGACAGAATAGACCTAGGCAGGGAAAACGAAAGTGAATGCTGGAAGGAAGAAGGCGGAGTCACAAGAGGCTGCCAAAGGAGAAAGATGCAAGTTGGCAGCTGGAACCTTGCCAGCAGGTCATGAGCTAGAAATATACACAAGTTAATATGCCAAGCAGTGTTGTAATTCATATAGTTTCAGTGTGATTATTTCAGGGCTTAGCAACCGGGCAGGAACAAGCAGACTCCCCCAACAAGTGGGCACGTGTGTGCTATGGCATATATCTTCAGAGTTGTTTGTCCCCTCTACTATGTGGGTACCAGGGACCCAGCATAGGTCTTCAGGCTTTGTAGCAAACACATCTACCATCGTCCCTGCCTAGTACTTGTTTTTAGTAGTTAAGAATCCACTTCAACCACCTATGCAGAACTGAAACACAGATCATATGCCAGTGAGACAAGGACCTACTTCTTCTTCATGTGTCAAAGGGAAAAGGAAATGTTAGATTTTGGTGCCTTGCGCAGGTTAGACTGAGATGCTGTCAGC